GAGGGAAAGGTAAGTCATAGGGATCCTTAGGGGTGTAGGGGGGAGGGGTGTAGGGGACTATATTTCCTTAAATAGGCCTTATTAGTCCTTATTATGGGCCTTAAGGCCCCCTACCCCCCCTCCCCCTACACCCCTAAGGATCCCTATGGTAATGCGCAATGAAGGCTGTAGACTAGACGTCCGGTCATCGTGATTCTGGTCTTAAGCTTACCCTTCGGCTCTGTGGACTCCTATAGGGCTCCTTTAAAGGGATCTATAAGGGGGCCTTTAAAGGGATCTATAGGGTTTTGGGATCTAAGGACTCCTATTTTTAGGCTTTTGGGCCCTACACCTGAACCCTAAACAAAAGCCCAGATAGCCTTGGCATTGACCCCTAAACACCGAAATCTTTCAACCTCTGCACCTGAACCACCCCCCTGCCCCGAAAACTCCAATCTAAAGCTCTAAACTCCCAAACCCCCGACCCCCTTCAGCCCGAAACCCCTGCGGCACACCATTCTTAACCCCTCGTTTTGCATCAGGGCTTGTGCAATCGCCTCACTGAACGTCTGAGCAATACGGAGGTTCAGCCTAAACCTAAGCCTTAACTTAAATCCACCGCTCACATCTTCAACCCTTAACCCCCGAACCCCAGACCCTTAAACCCAAACTCTGAACTTTAAACTCTAAAACCTATGGGAATGCCTTTTTTCTTGCAGTCGCATCTCTGCCAACTGCGCCCTTCGCACTGACCGCCGCCACAGAGAGTAAAGGCCCTTAAAGGATGAGAGAGTTTAGGGTTGTACTTTACAGGTTTGAGAATAATGGTACAAATCTTATAGTCACAATAGTAGTAATAAGAATAGTAGCAAATATAATACCAAGACTAATAGTAGTAATTAATGATTAGTAGTTTAGGGTTTAGGGTAGAGGGATTCGGGTTCAACTTCAGGCTATCGTTTTGGTCTATATAAAGGCCTTATAAGGGATAGGGTTGAGGGTTGGAGCCTCGGGTTTTCGGTTTAGAGGTTTGGGGGTAAAGGCTTCTGGAGCTAGGATGTTGGGTTTCGGATTTGTTAAAATGTGCAGACACAGAAGCGAGTGTAGACCCTGAACCTTCATGCTAGATAAATCAGAAGCAAACAACTGAGCTCAATAAAATATTCACTACACTCAGATTCTAGGAGAGCTGTCCCGCACCCTGGTACCAACAGAAAACAAGATTTGTAACAATCCCCTGTCCCTTGGGCCTATTTACGACCAGCCAAAACATCGAAGATATCCCCAAGGGAACATCAATAAATCCGAAGCCCCATTGGTCCGAACATACAATAAATATGAAAACCCCCTCAATGCTGTAAACCTAGACACAAATACATGATGATTGGGCAGTTGGACCGTCAGGGTACCTACTTAAGCCCAAGACCAGTCGCTTAGTCTTATACACCTAGACATCCCTACATCCGCCCGTGCACTTACACCCTGCACCCCTACATCAAGCCCACATCCTGAATTCAAACCCGACACGCTACACTCCTTACGCCCTAAACCGGAAACCCCAAACCCTGAAACCTTAGCTCCTAAACACCCTGAATCCGGAATTCCTGAACCCGTAACTTCCATGAGGTTTAGATCCCGGAACATGAATTACCCTAAGGGTCCATGCACACCAAAAAAAGGATATGCTTTGGCCTGAGAGCACTCCCTAGACACATACCCTCATGCTACCCTTAAAGGGATGCTTAAAGGAACCTTCTTGGGTACGTGGACCTTTGGGGTTACACGAACCTCGAGGAGCTCAGCATCCCAAAAGCCCTTCACAAAAAATAGGCGCCTTCATATTTAGAAGGGTGTTTTGAGGCATACCATGATACTAATATGATCAGGAACAACATGGAGTTCTGCTCACTTTTGTGCTCAAGCCCTCCACTTCACCCTCTCAACGGTCCGTCAGGCTGTGCTGCAGGAATCGCCACAACGCTTCAGGGGGCCGACTCCGACGTTCCTTCTGAGGCCGAAACCCCACCTCTAACCTACGATAACCTACTAACCTACCGTTGTTGTAGCTTCTAAAATCGAACCCTCTAAGTAATTGATTCGGACTCTGACCCTACGAATAAGCAGATTTAGACTTGGGTAGAATAAACCCTACAGCAGAGTTGATTTGGACACTACAAATAAAGAGGCTCTGGCCTCGGCTTTTTATAGTAAAATGTTGGCGGTCTAAAGTCAACCCTGAGCCCAAACCCACAAGCGTGGAGATAAAGCCAGGATCTTGAACTCTGAACACTCAGTACCTATATCATATAGGGGGCCTTTAATGGTTCGAACAGGATGTTGGGGACAACTTATAGTAAGGAACCCTTAACTTAGTGTTGGCAATTCTGAAGTCCCCTATAGTAGATCCTAGGCTCCAACCTACAGTGAACAACTGCGAACACATTCTACAAGCAACCACACGGAGCTCTAACCCTAAACACCACAATCAGCAACCCCTATAAACTCTGAACTCCACATGCTGGAGAATTATAATCCAACATAGGGGCCTGACTAATTCGAATAGGGTTTGGGGGCACATTATACTATATTTAGTTTTTAAGGAAGCCTCCTTAGGGAATAGCATTATAGTAATTGATATGGCTCTCAAACCCGATACCATAGACCCTAAAACCAAAGAGGAGGCGGAGATCGAAGTCGAAAGTCCCACGTTTGGCAGTCGATCTCTTGGCTTTGAGTGCCCTTTTCGGAGGGAGGGGAGGCAGGGCTTCGGAGGTGCGGGAGTTTAGGGTTTGAGGGGTTTAGGGGCTTTACGGGCTTAGGGGTTTAGGGTCTAAGCGTTTAGGGTGGGGTTTGCAGTTCAATCGTTCAGGGAATTTTGGGGTTGGGGGTTGCGGGGTTTAGGGTTCAGGGCTTCATGGTATAACAAGATTCGGGTTTTCAGATTAAGCTTTTGGCTTGCTTTTCTTAAAGTTGTGGCAACTGCTGTTTGGTTTAGGCTTTCGGATTTCGGTGTGAGCGTGTTGGGGTTTAGGACTTTCCGTCTTGAGGCGCTAGGGGCCTCTGAGGGCTTTAGGTGACTTTGGGCATTTTGGGCTTGAAGTTTCATGTGGCATAGAGCTCTCTGGGTCTTTAGGGAGTGATTTCTGGGCTTTGAATTCTTCACGGCCGCAGGAATTGGGGATGTACGCTTTGATGCATTGGAAGTTTAAAGCTGCAACCTGCTTTAGTTGCTGGAGTGTTGGTAGGTTTGTTGCGTGTTGGCGGACGGCCCGCTTCTGGGATGGAGTTCAAGTGTCTACCTAGACCCCAAAAGTATGTAGAATATCAGCCGTTTAAAGGTGTTGGGGCCAAAAAATAACCTACGTTTGGGGGTTAAGGTCGTCTTCAAGGGCTCAGCATTTATTGGTTCGAGCCATGGGTTCAAACGTTCGCAGGTCCGGAGCAACTGCACGGCTCACCTGTCCGTAGCACGTGGTCAGTTGTTTTGAAGCAGCCTGAACTAGATTTGGTGGTGTCGGGTTTTAGGGCTATGGGTGTTTCATGTAGAAGTCGGAATAAGTAGCGGTATCAAGAGTTGCCCTTTACAACCCCATCATATAATCATAAGCCTCCGATGAAAGATCCTACATCCGAAAGGCTTAAACCTTGATGGGCGGCCAAGCGGGAGTACTCAAAAGGCAGCCCATTGCTGACCCTGTTGCATCTTTTCCCTGCTAGAAGGACCCCTTCCTAGGAAGAGTCGTACCGAACCCTCTAAACCCTAAACCCTTACCCCTCAACCCTAGGCCCTTAAACACTCAACCCAATATGAAACCCCAGCTATGAAAGCTTACCTCATGATCCACCTGCAGCCGGCGGCTCTGGTGTGCTAATGCTTGGTGGTGAGATCACAGTCAACGAGTAGTACACGCAATACACGGCTCTGTGTATGTATGGGTGTCGATGTGTTAGTATCTGTATGTGAACTTTACGTATGTATGTATGTATGTATGTATGCATCTGCAGCCTGATTACATGTGGCTTCGTGGTGTGTATGTGTATATATATAAAAATATAAATATATATAACCCACATTATGATATGTACATACTTATATGACTTATATGTATGTACATGTATATACCACATACACGTAACTACACACACACACACACACATCAGTATTTTAGCCATGCCTCGCCTGGTCGCTCGGTTGAATCAGCTCGATAAGGAGCTTAAGACGCAAGGTGCAGGTACAGAGTTGGATGGCTGAGTGGGAAGACTGATCGACAGACCCTCAACCCTAAACCCTAAACCTACCTGTAAGACTTGCGAAGGGCCAGCATCTCCATGCAAAAACGCTTCGACCGAAGAGTAACATCCTACATCAGGAGTCCCAAAGCACTACATACGCTTACCAGCATACATCTGATGGAATCATTGCTTCATGTGAATCCTAACACAAGGCTCAGAACCCATACACCCAAACCCTAGAACCCTCAACGATTCTGACTTTGTGCCGCATGGAGCCGTGCCCTACAGAGCCACGGGCATGTTTGCCGACTCGGAACGTCGCAGCACAGGGGGGGTGTTTGATCCCGATTGCGAATTTCTCTCAGCGCCAGTGTCTGAAACACGGAATCCAGAGACTCCAATATCCCTTAATTAAGGAATAGACCTTAAATCATATAAGGAATCCTACTATAATTTAGGTATATTCCTTAATTAAGGGATATTGGAGTCTCTTGGAAGAAGAAGCCGCAATCTCGAAAGCGGACGATTTGAACATGCGACTTTTGGAAATGCCCTGGGATAAGGCTTCAGGGTTTCGACTCAAAACCTTCTAAAGTATGCAACCAAGCATGCATGCATATCTGCAGATTTCGGTCGCCGACACTCTAATGCCGTAAATGCCTAGGACTTATGCTATGTGTAGTGTCCAGCGGTTCAGAATGCTCTGCATGGGGCCTAGGGTTAAGGAACTACATCTCAACAGCTTGTCTGAAGTTCTGCTGCGTCGATCCAGTGAGAAGGCCTTCAGATCACTGCATTCCGGGAAGGAGCGCTTGATCTGCGACCCTGCAGTCAGAGAGAATTACAACCCTAAGCTGATGAGGAGCTCTCAAGCATGAGCTTATCCGGTTTGGGGGGTATTCTTGTACGATCCTTATAGGGAATCTAACTTTTACATGCTTTGTTTGAACCCCCGTCTCATGTTGCGACGCTTTTTTCCTCGGTCTGCAAGTGTCTTTAAACGGGAAGTTTTTTCGGTGGTTGCAAAAGCCTCTTGATCTTTCTGGGGCCCTCAGAAGCCATGGAAACCTGAGGGAAGCCTTAAACCTTGTACCCAATCAATCCTACAAACTCTGAACCCATAATTCGATATGCCTTCTAAGTCCCCACACACACACACACACAAGAAGGCCCCCCTAAGCCCCCTAAACTCGACACCCTCAAGCCTCAAACCACGAAGCCGCAGAATCCTAACCCTAAACCTCCATAAACCCCTAAACCCTAAATCCTAAACCCTTAAACCCTAAACCCTGAAGCCCAGGATAAATAGAAATTATGTAGCAGCCCCAACAGCAAAGAATCAGCGTCGGAGCGAGCGGCTCAAGCTTCAGGTCCTCCTTCTTCTGCAGATCGCGAGCTTTTAGGAAGTATTTCCTCGGCGTTATTAGGGGTTTAGGGTTTGGGGATTAGGGATTAAGGTGTAGGGATTAGGGATTAAGGGGTAGGGATTAGGGATTAAGGTTCAGGGATTAGGGATTAAGGTTTAGAGTTTGGGGTTTCAGGGGATGGGGTTTAGGCGCATCGGATTTAGGGCCTATATGGGATGGGCTTCGGGGTTGATTTAGGGTTTGGGGTTTCAAGGCTTTGGGTTTGGGGTTGTCCAGAAATCCCGCCGAAGCACTTGTCGATGATCCCCTTGATCCCGGGGCTGAGAATAACTTGGTTTGCGCCTGGGCACGGATCAGGGCTTGAAGACGGCTCGGGACCTACTTAAAGGATCATGGGACTTGGTAAGTAAGGTTATAAGTACCTTAGTTGGGGTCATAAGTAGTTATGAGTATAGTTAACCTAATTATAACTCTAGTTACTAAGTCCCATGATCCTTTACGTACAGCTCCGTTGTTTCGGGCTTTGGGACTACGGCTTTTCAGGATTGAGGCCATCGACTTGAAGGGTTAGCCCTGGAAAGCCCTAGGCTTCAGGTCTCAGAGCTGAAGGCACAGGGTGGTCCAAAAGGAGAGCCAACAGGAAATATCGACAGTGCCCTAGGTGGGTTCATCTTTCTGCCCTACATATATGCAAAATTTCTGCAGTGACGATGCCCGCCCACGGGACCGTTGGCTATGCTAGCAGCGCCACCTACCTGTATTGCCACCGTCACTGCCGCTGCTGTTGCTCCTGCCACTACCACTCTGCTACACCTAATGTAGGGGCCTTAATAATTAGAATGGGGTTTGGCGGTATGTTACACTATAACTGTAATAAGGACCCCCAAACCTGAATCTAATCATTAAGGCCGCTATTAGTACTAGTACTACTTCTACGACGATGGTGACGACCACCACGACCAAGGCCACGACCACTCGATCGATTGCGACTATTTCGACGACGACAACTTATCCTGCAGCTATGACTACCTCCAGCACATTCGATTTCCTAAACCCTAACCCCTCAGGATCCTTTATAGATCCCTTAAAGGAACCCTACAGCTGCAGCAGCAAAGGAGCCAAAGCTCCTGTCGCACAAAAAAGGTTACCATCCAAGACAGCTAGAGTCACAATAAAGCCGCCATGGTAGAGATAGTAATCATCAGCAAGACTCAACAAAAGCATTCTGACAAAAGCTGAAGCGACCACAACCTCAGCTTCAACTTTTTGTCCGAGAAGCTGATGTAAAAAGGCACTCCATCAGCAATGGCCCTTTTGAGGTCGATCCAGATCGCAATCTCGCAATCGTATCCTTGGCATCTGACCTAAAACTTACTTCCCCAATAAGCCAAAGAAATAAAAGGTTAAACTTTCCGATTACTACTAAACTATAAGAACCCAAAAAGTTTGAAGGTTGTGTATTGGGGATGTACGAAAACCTCAACAAGTCACAAGCAGCCTCCCTGCAGGTGTACTTTGTATCAGGCCGGTGGATGTTGGGGTTTCGCGACCGCCGTAGCTACCGAATACTCAGCTTGCAGCAGCTTCCAATCCCAGCGAGTGACCCTGCTGCATGTTCGGAGTTGAGAGTTTAGGGCTCAACCCTAAACTCTACTCATAGGCTCCATGGTAGTTCCTTTTTGGGGATTACCTCATAGGATTCTATGTGAGAACCCCAAAAGGGAACTACCATGGAGCCCTAAACCGTAAACGCTGAACCGAAAACCCTAAGCCCGACTCTGAGACCTATAGTTTAGAAGCTGCCCCCACCCTGTCATAGTGACTACAAGGATTATATAGGATAAAAAAAGGCCCTAATATATTCCTATTATACCACTATTACAGGGTGGGGGCAGCTTCAAACCTATAGTTTACATGGCGGCTTGGAAAGCCCTCGGCCATCCTTCAATTCCAGACGCCCGCATCAGGAATCCTTTAGGTACTGCCCCCATACAGTAAGAGTCTATAATAGGGCTACGATTAAGGTCCTAATATATCTATATTATGAATATTCTTCAACTATTACTGAGTGGGGGCCGTACCCAAGGAATCCAGCTAGTTGCAACTTACAAGTTCGAGGCCTGAACCTCGAACCTCAAACTCCAGAAAACATGGACCCTCAACGCCAAAAGTCTCTAAAACTCAAAATTCCAGCACAACCTCACACACAAAAAACAGCAAAGCCTCACAAACTCTACATAATTCCAACACAACCCCTGAAATTGCGAATCGACAAGCCCCCAAAGCCCGGAAAGCCGGTTCGGCCAGGAGGCGCATGCCGGAAATGACCTTGGCCGGCTGGCGGCTCTTGTCTCGGGTTCAGGGCTTAGGGCTTATAGGGTCTAGGGCAACAAAGGCTTAGGGATAGGCTTTAGGGCTTCTAGGGCTTCATTAGGGTTTATGGCTTCTAGGGTTCAGGGCTTCTCGGGTTGAGGGTTTATAGGGCTTGTAGGGTTCGGGGTTTAGGGCTGAAGGTTTAGGGATTTTAAGGTTGAGGCCGGCTGTAGACTGGAGGAGGGCGTCGGGCTAAGGGGCTTTGATTAAGAAACCTTGGGCGCTTATTGGGGTTCTATAAGGGTTCCTGTAAAGGCGGGTACTATAAGGGATCTATAGTAAGGGTACTATAATGATGTAGGAACCTGATTAAGAAACCTTGGGTCCTTACTGGGGCTCTTAGTATGGATCCTAGGTTGGGGGTTATAGGCCCGGGGCTTCTTAATCAGGTTCCTACATTAGTGCATGCTGAATCTCCCGCAATCCGCAATCGCACATGCGTGTCGATTGGGGCAGCCTGAACCCCACTATCAAAAGTCCACATCCCACAAGGGTATGCAGTAGGCCATGTAGTGCGAGTCCTTGCCCAAAACCGACAAAAGCGAGATCTTGAAACCGCAGCCCAGACAAAACAAATTAAACCCAAAAAACAAAAGCAGTTAAAACCCTGCACGTACACACAGATCAACGAAGGCGGACACCGAAAACCTTTCTCTAAGGGTCCAAATACCTAGTAGCTTAATACTCATGTGCTCTCCCAAAATGTACACCTGCAATGCTACTCTGCTAAAGCCCAGTCTGATTACTGGAATACCTTGAACCCTTCACAGCCCTTTAAAACCCTAAAGCTCTATAAGCTCCTTGTGGTCAGATCCCTTGTGTCCCCTTGTAGGGCTTCCAAATTCTGATGGCAGCTCACGCGCTTGTCGCCGGGCGCATACGGTGCGAAATGCACGTGGTTGCGGAAGCCCTGACCTGGAGGCTTAGGGTTTTGGGTTTAGGGTGGTTTAGGATCTCGGGTTTAGGGTTTAGGGTGGTCTAGGGTTTTGGATTTAGGGTGGTTTTGGTTTCGGGTTTTTAGAGCGGCAAGAACTTAACAAGTTAATATTGGGGCCTGAACACATCGAACAGGAATCCTTGAAGGGTTCCTTTTTTGAAGGGTTTCGTATGTGATAGTCGAAGGGCCTTAATAATTAGAGCAGGGTTCCTTTTAGGGTCTCACTACTCAGTAGCTAGTGCTCAAAGAGCTACTATCGGTGCCCTTGGTGTACTTAACCTCTGCCTTTTCAACTCTAGGTGGTCCATCACAAGAAGCAATCATCGCTTTAAGTACAGTCTGAAGATCACCATCTGCAAGAGGCAAATGCATATCCCACTGCTCCAACTCCTCCGTCTCACTAAACGGAACACTGCCTTCTCCAGCCTCACCGCTTAGCCGAGGACCGCTAGCTTCGTCGAAAGGAACCAACGTAGGCGTGTGTGCAGTCATGGATGCATTTATGTGTACGTATCTGTATGCATGCGTGGATGCGTGCCTCTTTGCATGCATGCATGGATGCATGCTTGAATTGCCGGATGGCCGGATGGCAGGATGGCAGGATGGCTGCATGGCTGGATGGCTGGATGGCTGCATGGCTGCATCGCTGGATGGCAGGATGGCTGGGTGGATGCGTATCTGTGTGTGCATGTGTGCGTGCGCGCATGCGTGGCGTATGCATGGATGTACAGATGTGGTTTTGTGCGCATGTGTGTTCATGTGTGCACGCGTGCGTGTGTACGTATGTATGTATGTATGTATGTGCGCATACATGTACGTATTTATGTGCATATATACATATGTATGTACGGACGGATGCTATGTAATGGAACGCAGTTTAGTGCAATGTGAGGAACTGTATGGTTTTGCATCGTGGGAACCCAAGAAGGAGCTAATGAATGCATGAATGAACGAACGACTGAGTGAATAGATGCATGTATGCATGCATGCATTAAGACCTTAACCCCGAAACACAAACACACACACACACACAGAAAGAGACACACCTCAACCCAGAACGTAACGCGGCCCCCCCACCCCCCCATCCCGACTCGCGACCCCACCCCTAAACCCCAAACTCAAAACCCTAAAACCCAAACCCTAAACCCTGAACCCGAACCCCTAAATCCCAAACTCAAACTGGAAACCCTAATGCCCAAATCCTAAACACCAAACTTAGAAGCCCCTTACAGGTGGGTAGTTCCTCTTCCATAGTACTCCCATAAGACCCCCTTTACCTTATAGGAGTGGTATGGGAGGCTTATGGGAAACTACCCACCTAATAATTACCCACCTGTAAATGGCTTAGAATAGGAATTGGAGGCCTTGTCCTCCTCCGGCCAACAAGCCCACCTGATGCTTGATTTTAGCTACAAAACCGGGTTTAGGGTTTAGGCGTTTAGGGTTTAGGGCTCAGGAGGGTAAAAACAATGATGCTTGAAGCTAAAACCCTCAACCCTGATAAGACCAAAACCCCAAACCCTAAACCCTTTTAAGCCCAAAACTCTTAACCATTTCACCCTAAACCCCGAACCCTAAGCCCAAAAACTCAAAGCCTTACAAACCCTAAACCCCCAACCCTAAATCCAAAACCCTAAACCCTAAACCCTAAATCCAAAACCCTAAACCCTAAATCGCTAACCCCAAGCCCCAAATGGAAGCTTCAGGGTCTCTGGGTGTTGGGTGTTTTTGTCCAGGGTTTAAAGCTTTGGGTTGAGGGCTCATATATCATTATACATGCATATCTATGTATAATTTTAATGCCATATTGTATGTATCTATAAATAAATATATATATATATATATATATATATATATATATATACATGTTATATATATGTAGGATCCTATAAGGTAATCCCCAAAATGAATTATAATGTGGAGACCCTAGGTAGATTTGAGGTTTGGGGTGAGTACGGAATCCTGCACCCCTTGTAATGGTTTAAGGATTATGCTTGAGCAGATTTGCAAACGGCGTCCTCTTCTCCTTGCCGCAGGGCTGCTCGAACTAAAGCTAGGGCCATGCAGGAATGTAGCGACATGCATCCCCTGCAAGTCTATATCAACCCCCGACTACCCTCTGACATACCCGAAAATATCCATTATTAAGATCCATAAGGGCTCTCTTAAAGGGCCCTTGGGGGGTCCTGGTAGGGCTTAGCGCTCAGACCTTGAATTGCTGGTCATCTGGCTTCGCTCTTGGCGGTAGCCAGTGGCTCTGGACGCGACGTTGCAAAATGACCCCCGAACCCTCAACTTCCCAGACCCCCGGAAAAAATCCAAAAAGTAGGTCCCTTAAGGGGGGTTCCTATAAAGTATCCTTAGTAGTATAGGGCCGGCATCTACTTTCTAGATCCTTCCGGGGGTCTGGGTTACCAGACCTCCATTCCGCTGAAGCCCTCAATCCCTGCAGCTCTGCCCCCAGAACCCGAAATCCGAAAGCTCGAAAGCAGACCAAGTCAGGAACAAATTTCATCCGCAAGCCAACACAATACTCAAAAGCTCGCAACGGCCTTGCGGATTGATTCAAAGTGCCGGCGGTAGGTGCCATGCCTCAGTTTTAACACTTCAAGGAGGGTTTGATGCTTGGCTTGGGATGTGGTATATTTTCTTGGATGCCCTATCTTCTGGCTAGGGTCTGATAGCATTAGCAAAAGTCATTGAGAGCCTCATTAGACAGAATAGGGTTTTGGGGTATGTTAAATTTTGTACAGTTTTGCTGAGGAGACGTGAAGAACAGCCCATTGGCAACTCGTGATTTACACCCCTCTATTCACCAGTACAAACAGGAACTGCGCTTCAGGACCTTGAAGGTTTAGGTAAGCTCGGGAACCCTGAAACAAAACCTAGCTCACAGAAACCTCATGACTTACGTCCGCAAAGACCCCAACAGTGTTTAGGGTTTGGGATTTGGGGTTTAGGGTCCTGCAACTAGTAGAAACCTTATGACTTGTAGACGGAGCACAAAACGGAGAAATTGTAACCTATGCACCTCCCCTAAACCCCTTAGCCCCTGAACCCTAAACCCTAAGGCCCATAAATCCTCTAAAACCCCACATCATATAAACCCTAAGCCCTAAACCGTAAGGCCCCTAAACCCTATAAACCCCCAAACCATATAAACCCTAAACCCTAAACCGTAAGGCCCCTAAACCCTATAAACCCCCAAACCGTATAAACCCTAAACCCTGAACCGTAAGACCCCGAAACCCTATAAACCCCCAAGCCATATACACCTTAAACAACTCAGCCAAGCCAAGCAGCACACAGTCCTTCGGTAGCTCGCCTGCCGGCTCGAGCTCTAGCTTCTTCAGCAGCTTGTCATCATCTATGACCTGCCAACACTTGAACCGGAGATGCACGGGCATTCGGGTTTAGGGCTTAGGGGTTTAGGGTTTAGGGGTTTAGGGCTTAGGTTACTAGCTAAGGGGGTGTTAATTTGCTCGGGGTTCTAGCAAACTACCTGCGTCTCTGAAACTAGATCCTGAATTATCGCAGATTTCTTGTATGACTGATTAAAAAGCCTGAGGTCCTAGTATAGTGTCCTCATGTGCATGTCAACATCCCATCAAACCCTGGACTACGGACTACCCTTGTGAATCCACAGAATGGTTTCGTGTCTCTTCGAGGCAATCTCGACCCAGCACCAACCTTAACCCCCCAAACCCTCAACGCAAAAGGGCCAAAACGCATTGCCTTGATTGAATGCCCCTGCACCGCCCGGATGTAGATGCTTCCACCCACGTCCTGCCTCAGATTTGAGATTAAGCCTCTATAGGGGGTTTTGGAGCTTGCGGGGTTTCGGGTGAGTGCTGTTGGGATTTCGGATTTTGGGGGAAGTTTTGGCGGTTAAGTTGTAGGGTGTACTTGTACCTCGGGATACCATAACCACCTACAGTGTTACAGTCGGAGTATTGAAGCAGACGAAACCTCCGCTGTCAGGGTCATGAACCAAAACCCCTCCTACATCCCAAGGTGGAACCCTTTCGGGCTTAGGGTTTAAATGGGACCTTCCGATGATAGGGTACCCTAGTATCGTACCCTAAATAGTAGGATCCTGTTTGTAAAGACCCCCAAAATAAGGTACCACCGATTTTCGGAAACTCAAAAATGGTTTAGAATGTTTGAACAACGCAGAAAGCTAAGCTTCGGGGCCAGTCTTTCCCTAAACCCTTTAAACCCTTTAAACCCTAAACCCTAAACCTTAAACCCTAAACCCTAAACCTTAAACCCTACGTCCTAAACCCTAAACCTTAAACCCTAAACCCTACACCCTATATCCTAAACCCTAAACCGGTGTGGTGGAATATCGGAGCCTTAAAGTCGGAAGGTACTCAACCCAAGTGCCTTAGGTAGAGGAACTGCATAGTCCTATACGGTACTCTCAAAAAGGAACTACTATGGGGCCGATGGGTAGCTCAGCCTAAAACCCTAAACAGTGTTGCGTCTTTCAGACCCAGACGTCAAAGTCCCGTAGAGTTAGGATTTCACGATTGAAGGAGGTTACGGGCCGAATCCCGCTGCCTCAGCACCAGGAGCCTCGTTCCGGGCGCAAGCTTGTCGGAGCTGCAGATCGCGCCGTCGGCAGATAACCGCTTCTTCCGGAGCCGCCTGTGCCTCCATTGGCCGCATTGCCTTCGAGCCGAGTCCATGGGAGGGGCGCCAGGAATGGCCAGGAGTTCGTTGACCAGCTCCCATCTGCATGAGTGCCGGGAATTGCGAGGAGCTAAGCTTTCTCTGGGACGTCTCGGCAACAAGAGCCCAAGCTTCGAGCTTGCGGTGGTGAGCACACTACCATAGCAAGCTAGTTGTAAGCGAGATGTCACATGAAGCAGCCTTACGGTGGACCAGAACCATCTATACCCACCTTAGATTAGAACCATAATATGAACAATATGTTTAATATTCTCTTGGGTTTTATATGAACAAAATGAAAAAAACCTTAGACGACTATGCCATGAGGCCGGTCTCAAGGACCCTTAAGGGGGTATGGGCCCCTCTCAATCAGTCGAATCATGAAAGCCCGAAGCGACCTGAAGGCTTCCAAAAGGGGACCCCCATGCATCCAAAACAAAATTCCTTAAAGCCCACCCCCGAACAACTTACCCAGGTGCGAGCTGCAAGCTGCGCGGTTTCAAACGATTGTTCTTTGGAACAGAGCCTTTAGGGCAAGTTGTTACAGAATGTAGTACATCTGCCGAAGAACAGCTCGAAGCGCTTCTTGTCACTCTTCTGGACCTCGCTGTAGGGATTTTGCTGGTTTTGGTGCTTTCAGGCTCAGGTTGTTAGGGCTTTAGGGCTTACGGTCGCAGTGATCGACGATTGGGGCTTGCTCAGGGTTTAGGAGTTCAGGGGTGGATACCGCATTCGTGGGGCTGACTATCACTGTCAACAGTATCCAGGTTCCGGACACTTCGTTGTCCTGGCATGAGGACAAACGGCAATAAGCCGGCATGCCAATTTCGGTGTTACTGAACATGACTTAACCCAAGGCCAAAACCCGACACGAATGTAGAACTTGCACATCATGTGTCTGCTGTTGCTGCTATGCTGTAGGGTTTAGGAATTAAGCTTCAGTATAATGAGGCCAAGTCAGGCACTCAACACAAATCCCTGCAACATCTTCCCCAGATGGCAATGCCGTATGATTCTTTTCAAACCATGCGCGACATGGAGAATGCATAAACCCTGAGCGCCCTAGGTCCTAAAACTCTCAGATGCAACTCGTCTATACCCTACCCTGCCTTACACCCATTTATATGCTATACCCGATAACCTAAACCCTCTACAGATCCTAAAATCCCAGATCCCCGAGATCTGAGGTGTGGGCAACTTTTTGAACGATATCCCACGTGGCATCCAGCTCCTTTAACCTCATAGATCTGGTGTAGGGTTGGGAGCTTAGGGATCGAATCTGGATTTGGGTTTTGGGGCTTCACGTTTGGAGTTCTAGGCGGATTTACATTGGGTGGCGCAGTAGCCTCATAGACCTTGCAAGAAGGGCGTGCGACGTCGTTGCAGTTCAGCCAGCATCGAGGTGGTGGGAGCTGGATCTACTACAGCCCACGGGTTCGAGGTTTAAAGGAAAAGGGACCTAGCGGGACAACCCTTGAGGTTCTCCGGTGCTCCGACGTGTAGCCGCGCAGAAAAGGCATCATATACTGGGATCCTGTTTCAGATTCGGATATGAGCTCAATATCTCGGGCTTAGATGTCCATCACCTAGTCATATATACATGTTTTTATGCAGGCGGATGTTTTTTGTTGCCCTGTATCTGAAGGCAAAGATCTCATACAGTCATACAATACTACGTTTGTCGTGTTTCAGAAACTGCCGGCTGAAGCTGGTCTGCTTGCAGGGAAGGCAGAGCGGACTTTCATCTGCCAGCCGCTTCAATGAACTTTGGAGCAAACCTCGGAAACCTGAAATCCACACCACAGCCCTTTGGCCACGTGGCCATGGGCAGGCTAGCACCTCTTCCAGCAAGCCTCAGACGTGGCTGTGGATCAGGGTAGGGGGTGCTTGAGCTTCGGGTGTGCTGTTCAGGTACTGTGGGGGCTACTAGGCTTAAGCCCGCAGCTGAACAGGCCCCCAACCCCTAGAGGGTTTGAGTACTCGTACTTCGAGTTCGGTAGAGAGCCCTGGCGCCTGCGGAGTCTTTGTTGAGGATTTTGGCAACTGTTTAGTGTATTCAGGGGTTCAGGGTTTAAGGGTCAAGGGTTTAGGGGTTCAGGGCTTTTACTGGTTTGGAGTTTTAAGATTTACGCTAGGTCTAGGGTGTAGCGATCTCAGTCCGGCACAGCCGAAAATCAAAAGCCAGCGGCTGCAAAGTCGCCTATGGGTGTGGGATTTCCGAGAAGGGTCTGTGCGATGCCTCGAGTGACGTGTGCCTTGGACCTCAAGTCATACCGTACTTTGCAAGACAGCTTTGTTGCGTTTAGTTAGAGTCTGTATAGTAAAGTAGCAAAAGCCATTGGAGAGTCCGAATTATTGGGCAGAGAAGAAGAACTCAACCACACTGCCGAGTGTGGAAGATATTTTTCGTGCGCGCACGAAACGAGGGTGTGGGTGTCCAGGGCTTTTTCAACACTAACAGACCAGGTCACTCTTGTGAAGTGTCCTGACCTAACATCCAGAGCCATGCATCTTCAGGAAAACAGGCTAGCGGCTAGAGAAACCAAGACGACACGAAGTGTCCAACAGATCTCAACCCCAGGCCACTGAACTCCATGTAACGCGCCTACACTGCTGCCCCGCACCAAGAGCTCCCTGAACGCTCGAAACCATCCGAAACCCTATAGTAAATGTGCTCCAAAAGATGACACAACCCCCATAGAACTCTTGTGGAACACGTCTTAGCACCCCACAGCAGCCTGCCAAGCCCTGTAAACCCTTTACCCAAAGGCCCCATAGTAGTTCCTTTTTGGGAATACCTTATAGGATTCTATATATGTACCCCGAAGAGGAACCACTTTGGGGGGCCTTTGGGTAAGAACCGACTAAAACTACGAAACGCTCCGCCCATGAAACGCTCCGAGCAGCAGTAGCCATCGGGCTGGATCCCTAACCCCAGCCTGGCGGGAGACCCGAGATCCCTCCACTCCCCTGGGCCCTCAGCTTTTTTGGGGTTTAGGGTTTAGGGACTCGGTTTAGGGTTTAGGGTTTCGGTTTAGGGTTTAGGGGTTAGGGTTTCGGTTTAGGGTTTAGGGTATGGGCCCCTTTCCGTCTGCACTTGCGTCCGAAACCCGGGTTCGAGGGAGCCTGGTTTCCCATTACCGTTTAGGGCGTAGGGAGCCCTACCTGAACCCGGAATAACCTACCTTCCTGATGACTTATATAAGGAAATTATAATAAGGAGCCCCAAAAGATAGGTTATTCAGGGTTGTGGTAAGGTCTCTCCGTCTTGTCGTGTTTGGTTTTTGCGTGCTTTACACGTTCAATCTGTGGGTATGGCTCTTGTTTGCTTTGTGTCGTTTGATGCTCGTCCGCTGTTGTGACGTGCTTTGTCTTTAAGCTGGCACGCGTTGAAGCCTGTGTGTGTGTGTGTACGCACTTGCTGGGTTTAGGGTCAGGGGCAGGATTGAGAAGGGAAGTGATGCTGCTGTGTTTTTCTAACCCCGGGCTCACAAGGTGCAGGGTTGAGAATGCATGGCTTCTTGGGTTCGGATTTCCTAGGGTCTATAGCTCCTCCATTAACGAGGGTTCTACAGTATCGAATGCTTTCAGAGTATTTGTTAGGCTGAAGAGGGGCGCAAAAAAAAGCTGAACCAATACTCTCAAACCAAATGCCGTTATGCTGACTGGAACCCTAAACTAGATTTGACAGCTTTGCACTGAGTTCTATTCAATCTAAACCCTACACCATAAACCCTAAACCGCGAACCATGTTTGGGTTAGATTGCCTTTTAGAACCCCCCTGAAACGCAGAGAACGTTGAGGGTTGAGGCGCTCAGATTACCGGTACCCGTTTAGGGGTGCTTACGGAACTCCTAAATACCACAAGGGTAGGGTCTACCCCAAACTCGCACCATGCCCAATCCTTGCAGGAACAAACGTACAAAGCGAGCGAAACTCCTGAACCTATAGACTGTGAACCCAAAGCTCAAAACGAAACCAGAAACATGGGGCAATGTAGGCGCCTTAAGGAATATAGGTTTCAGGTCTTATGCAGTTTAGGTATAATAGGGAACCAAGAGGAATAATATTTGTTTTGTAGTTACTTAGGATACCATATCAGGGTAGCTGGGAAAGACAGGTCTCCAAGTTTTGTTAGAGAACCGACCGGGGCAACGTAGAACCACCGCCAAGCGTTAAACGGCACCTCGCAAAAATTCTTCCACAGCTACGCTGAGTTACCGGGATTCAGGGATGAGTACGTGCCGTTTACTGTGCCGACACATACATAAGCTACAAGTAAATGGATGGAAGGCGATTTTTCTTGTATGTATGTATGTGTATATATATATATATATATATATATATTACGAATGTGAGTACGTATAGACACACACGGGCCAGAACCCCCTCAACCCGAAGCCAGTTCATGCTGCGGCTGAAGGGGCTCGGGTGCTTTGTGCCGGAGAATTTGAGTCAACGTCTTTGAAATCTTCACCTGGGCATCCACTGGCCGTTCGGGGATGTTGAAACCATAGAGTGGAAGCCAGAAAGTTGGAACACTAGTGCTCTCCATCGTAAAGCCTATGAGCCCTCCCACACCAAAATCCCGCACCGAAACCCCTAAACCCTACAATAAACACTACACCGACATCCTTATGAAAGGCTAAAGCCCTAATGGCTTTAAGACTCTCAAGGCCCCAAATAAAGGCCAAGAGGGAAGCAAGACCTTCGGACCGTAAGCCGTGCTTCTGGATTTAATCGGGTCGAATAAGGGCATCAAAACGAGCCTTCATAATTGGAATCGGGTTTTGAGGGTATTATCCTATACTTGCAAGAGGGAACCAGAAATGGTGTTGGAAATTATTTAGGCCCTAGACCCCAAGCCCCCGACTAAAGTTGGCAACTTGGACTACTGGCTCGTTAATGCTCGGACCTATCTTTGGACCGTGAAGCCTTGCCGAAATCGCAAGCAGCTTGCAGCTGGGAGGATTCAGGTGCAGGCTTTGAGTTTTTAAGTTTGAGACCAGCCCTGAAGTGCCTAGTGGTCCTTGCCACCCAGCCTGCAGTACACTGTCATAGCTGCATGCACCCTTGGGCTTAGGGCGAAGAGCTTCATGCAAGCAGGGGGCGTCACGCGTGAGACCGTCGCCCCATCCTGTGCATGACTAGCTGGTCCTTCTTATTCCTGCTATGACACGAAGGAGTCAATCATCAGGGCAGCTTGGAGGTTGCTGAAACATACAGGCTTTCTTCGAGGCCGTTCAGTAGGCAGGCTTCTAGACCCTACCTGAGGCTACCGCAGCCCACCGTGTTTATAAAGTCCCTATAAGTTAGACATGAGGGGATCCTGGCTAAGGGTTTCCGTCTACAGGAATCTTCGAGGCTTCAAGAGGCCGTGAAGGATTTGATTATTGTGAATGGGGAGAGGGGGGGGCGCCTTGTCTAATACGTTCTGATACTGTCGAAGCGATCCGAACCCTTGTGTCTTTAAGATGCGGCTGTCTCAGAATCCTCGAGTTCAATGCGGCGCGGCTGCTTGATATCATCCGCGAAGCTGAAAAAAACCCGAAACAGTGGCAAAGCCAGATGATAATTTCCGCGTAGAAACACTATGTATACCCCAATACAAGACATAAAACCCGAACACATCTTCTGAAACGCTGCAGATAGGGCCTGGAACCTCAAAGCCTTTACACGCGTGAGACTATTCTCCACAAAAAACACATAGAGCACAGAAGCAAACGTGCCCCAACCTTTGTAGGTTGGCATTTGAAACCCTGACAAGTGTATGCTGAGCAAGATCCCATGTAAGCCGAGGCACTCAAAATTGTAACCAGTCCCCAGGTACACCTTTATACAACACTTACAAAGCCCGCAACGTAAACCCGTTACAGATCTGTCCTCCACATAACAGCCCGTCTAAAGCTCTTACTGTACACACCCCCGGCAACCGTCTCAAAAAACAAACCTAATGCTTATAATGCTGACGGGGAAACCTCTGTGACTCTGTGAAACCCCGAATCAAGTTCAATCCTAAACCCTTCGAAACCCTAAATCCTGTATGAAACCCCGAATCATCTTCAATCCTAAACCCTTCTGGACCCTAACCCCCATACGAAACCTAAAATAAACTTCAATCCTAAACCCTTCTAAAACCCAAAACTCGTTATGAAACCCGAATAGACTTCATTCACAAGCCCTTCTACACCCACGAAAGCCTAAACCCCAAACCCTAAACCCTAATCCCTAAACCCTAATCCCTAAACTTTGAAATTTAGAAGGCTCCCTTCCCCGGCCTCCTGCCGCCTTGCTCCCTTTCGCGCCGCTGGCATCGGCAAAAGCTTCGGCCCGACTCAGTGGCCTTGTTTCTTTGCTTAGTTTTTAAAGGTTCTTTGCTCTCTTTTTTATTGAGGTTGGTTTTAGGGGGGTTGAGGGGATTTTTTTGTGTTTGAGGTCTAAGGATTCGGGTTTAGGATTCGTATAAGGGTTGGGGTATGAGGGTTTAGGCTTCTTTGCTTTTTTTTGTTTGGGGTCTAAGGCATCGAGTTTAGGATTTAGGGATTCGGGATGAGGGTGCAGGGGTTAAGGTTTCATTTGCTCTTTATGTGGTTTGGTCGAAGGCTTCCGGCTTCGGGTTTAGAGTCTGTTTAGGGAGGCTGAAAGGTTTGTAGGGTGTCAAGTTTAGGGGGGTAGGGTTTTTGATTTATGGGCTTAGGTGTTTCGTGTTCAAGGCTACTGTCTGCGTTTTGCAAGTGGTGCTTCCAGCAAGGGAATTTGTCAAAACGGTGCTTCGAGGTCGTCGCTATTTAATGGGGCGTTCCGTTTGTTGTGTCGTGTCCCCGGATTTTCAGGATTAGGGCTTGAGGTTTGGTGTTCAGAGTTCTAGGGCTTGGATTCTAGAGTGTAGGTTTTCAGGGCTTGGTGGGTCAGAATGCGATTTAAGAGCAGGGCCTACGAAAGGGGGCAGGGAATCATGCTAGGGAGGGTGGAGGATGAAGCCAGAGGCGGAGGTTATCCTACCATTGAGGGGGGCGGGGACAGCATGAGGTGTGGAAGGCAGGGCACCAAATACACCAAAACTGTAAAGAAGGAGCAAGGACGTGGGAGCAGGAGCAACCAAGCTCAGGACTGCTCAGGGAATTGACTTAACCTGCAACGAACAGAATCCAAGTGCGGTCCAAGCCGGGCAGTAAGGCTGGACGAGCGGGAAAGGTGACAGAAAAAAGAAGCCGACTCGACATCACGAAATCCAAACGCTTGCAGCACCGGAGCACTTTTGCCAGAAAGCGTCTTCGAAAACAAGAAAACCGCGCAACACCAACCCCAAATGTGGGATCCTTCACCTGATCCCTAGATTTGAATAAGGTACCCCCCCCTACTACCCTAAACCGAAAATTCTAGATCCCTAAACCCTAAACACTCATCAAGAGTCCCTGCACCCATGCTCTCCAAGCAGCTTCGTTTCCACTTCAACAGGCGTAGCTTTCGGCTGGTCCTACGGCAGCCAAGCTCATCTAAGGTAGGGGCCTCAATGGCTAGAATAGGCCAGAATTCAGAATCTCTCTCCTTCAATAACCGGGCCCAAAAAAGGTTTGAACTTTCTAAGATAGACCAAACATATAAGGCCAACAAGTTTAAAGTTCCCCCATTGGCTATCTTAGGAATAGGGCTTTAGGGTATCTTATCGTACAAGCAGACTACGGAAATCAAAGGAATAGCATTGTACATTCTCCAGGCCTCTAAGACGCTACATTGGTTTGGGCCTTTCCGCTTTTAGAGTGCCAGGCCTCGGGTTTAGAAGTTAAGATTCTACGACTACTTGAAGGCTCATGGGACTTAGTAAGTAAGGTTATCAGTAGGTTATAATTAGGATAACCCCACTTAGGGGACTTATAACCCCAATTATGACCTACTTACTAAGTCCCATGATCCTCTAAGTAGATCTTCGATTTCGGGTCTGGGTGTTTTGGGGATTACTGCCTCCAGGGCTTTTCGGTTTGGGGGGTGCGCGAAGACTCCAAGACGACTTCGCAAGATGGCAGATGGGAACCGGCAGAAGGGATCGAGAAGAGGACGGCTTCGGCGATCCTACCAGATCCAGTCCACAGAAGCGGGACTGTTGGCAACCCTTCGACAAATACCGAGACGATCCCTAAGTCCTAAAACCCTAAGCCTTAATAACCCTAATCCCTAAACCTTAATCCCTAATTAATCCCTAAACCCCAACATGTTGATAAGGGTTGTATAAGGGTTACGTAAAAGGATTCTGTAGGGCTTATAAAGGTCCATGTACCCAAATCGCATATACTTTGGCACCAAAGTACCTCTATGGGGACGACTTTGAAGGCCACAGTATATTCTAGTTGAGCATATGGACCCTTAACGAAACGAAACCACGAATCCCCTTGACAGGCACGCTTCGACATCAGCTCGCACCCTGACAACTCCTAATAGTTAATAGTCCATGTAATACCCTTGGAAACCTCTCGACCCTAAACCCTAAACCCTATAAACCCTAGCAGCCCTAAACCCTATAAATCCTATAATAGCCTATAAGCCCTATAAAGCCTATGAACCCCTATAAACCCTATAAAGCCTATAAACCCTGAACCGAACCCGGACCGAACCCCAAACCCAAACTGCGTTGAAGGCCTTGGCTGCGCCGGACTTGCCCTTTTTGTCCCCCGACTTCCACCGCCGTCCGCTGTCGCCTTTGGGCCTGCGGTTTAGGGTTTACCTACCTCTAGTCTCCATTGTAGTTCCTTTTTTGGTTAACCAGTTTTATGGCTAGGATCCTATAATAGAGTTTTTGGGTAACCAAAAAAGGAACTACAATGGAGACTATAGGTAGGGCACCTTAACCCTGAAGAACCTACCCTCTTAGGGCTCTCTATTATATGATTTCCGTATATAAGGCCTTACAAAGGTAGGTTATTCCGGGTTAAGGGTTTAGGGCTCGATTGTTTAGGGTTTAGGATGTCAGGTCAGCTCTTCAGTTTCGGGGCTTGAGGGCATTGAGGGTTAAGGGGATGGGGGGTACTGTTTGGGCTTTCCTCAGGGCCTCAAGCATTTTAGGGTCGATTTCGGGGTTCTCTAGAAAAAGTCTGAGGCCTTGAACCTTAAGGACGAAATGAACCCTAAAAGGGTTTAAGGCTCATATACCATATAGGGATTCATAGCATATGGGTATAGATCCCCTACTTTTAAAGGTCATTTGGTCCTCCAGGAAACAAGTTCCTACTACCTCCCCCCCCGAGCCCTCTCTAGGAAGTTTCCTCGGCCACAGAAAATGCCTGAGATCGCGCCCAAGCTCTGATACAGAGGCCTTCACGCTTAGAGTAAGGTTCCGGGTTCAGGGTTTAGGGTTTGGGTGGTGGAATACTGTGCTGAGATGCAGGAGGGGATAGATCACAGTACTAACCATGCATTCCTCTTGCGACTTGTCACTATCATCGCGCGAGGAATCATGGCCACCATCTGCAGTCTTATCCACCTGATCTTAATGTTGCTTATGATGGTGCTGGATGATGACGATGATGATTAACCCCCGGAGCCTCCAAATCCTAATTGCTCCCTTCGCAGCTCTGTCCCAACCGGAGGACATGACATGACTATCCCGAACACTCGAAGCCCTGTAGCCGCTAAACCCCATGAACCTGATCCCATTCCCTGCAAACCCTCACTGTAACCCAACCACCCCCACTCTAAAATCCTAAGCCGCAGTTACCCGTGTAGCCTAGCGCCACCATAGAGCCAAAAGCCCCGAACCCTAAACCCTAACCCTTAAATTCTAACACCGACCCTGAACCCTGAACTCTAAACCCTACAACCTACACCCTAAACCCTTAAATCCCTAAACCCTAAGCTCCTAAATCCTGAACCCCTACAAATTAGGAGCTGCCCCCACCCTGTAATAGTGACCATAAGGATTATATTGGGGGTTATTAGGGCCCTATTATATTCCTATTATGCCACTATTACAGGGTGGGGGCCCCTTCTAACCTATAAACCCTAAACGCCCCAAAGCCCTGAAACACAATCGGCCCCAGAGCTTCAACTGGGATCCCTTACGGGTTCTTCTGCTTCGACTGCGAGGAGCCGCCTTCAGGAGAGGAGGGGTAAACATAAAGGTTTAGGGTTTAGGGTTTAGGGAGAGGAGGGTAAATACCCGACCCCTTTTTAAGGCTTCTGAGCCCTAATTTTCAATAGGGTTCCCTTACCAGGGGTCTATAAGAGCCATTATCAGGGCTATTATAAGGATTCAATACAAGCCTTTTTCGAAGATGGGACCCCAAGGGTCCAAAGGACCCAATAATTAGGTACGCGGCTTTAGGATAGTAGATACGTAGGCTAGGATTTTGGAGAGTGTATGATGATTAGGCACGTGGACCCTTGGGGTAGGGGTTTGGGGTCTAGGGTTTAGGGGCTTAGGGCTCAGGGCGTAGGGGTTGAGGGTTTAGGGTTTCGGGTTCGGGTTGGGGTTCAGGGCTATAAGGGTTGCTCTGCCTTCAGAAAAGGACGGGTAACTAAGGGTTAACTAAGGGTTTAGGGTTTAAGGTTTTGGGCCAGAAAGGGCTGCTAAAACGGATGCTATCAAGTAGAAGCCAGAAGTTTAGAACATCATGGTTTTGGTGCTCTTAGAGCAAAATATGGGGCATCCCAGCACCCGTCATCCTAAATCCATGTTGCAACCTGCCGGGGTTGATTGTAAGTGCTTTTATTACGTTTGGTTAGTAGGGAATGGAAGAATGGTAGTAATAGTAGTTGTAGTTGTACCTCATTCCTCCATTCCCTACTAACCAGAGGTAAGTTCTACAGGGGTTGCTACAGTATGAAGACTGATTGGGGGCCACCAGTCGAAGACTCTTGGCTTTGGATTCTGGGCTGAGGGATTCCGGAGTTCTTGGGGCTTTAGGGTAATATACCGGAGTTTGGGGTTTATGGTTTGGCTTGTCAGTCTTCGACCTAAACAAGATGCTTGTCGCATCGGTGGGCACAGAACTTAAACATACTTTGGTCCATACGGACGGTCAAGGCATTTCCTAGAAAACATCCTCGGCGGCTGGAGTCTACAACCTACTGCAAACCGGCATACACCAGCTGAACAGCTAGAAGCCCCGACGTACAGACGGTAGCCATACACCAGCTAAAGGTGACCATGACGTACACTTGGCTGATGTTGGTTGTGCAGTTTTCCAAGCTGTTGCTGACAGAAACAATCCTGCCTCCACCTATTCTTTCAACAACTGCTCTCAGGCCTACAGTAATTTAGGCACCTATACTATGACTTATAGATCCCTTATAGTAACCCTTATAGACCCCTTTAAAGGAGCCCTAGGAACCCTATAAGGCATTGAGTTTGGGCTATAAGTTATGGCTGATGGTGTTTCAATTCAAGGCCTTGCTCGCGTTTAAGGGTTTAAGGTTTATAGGGTTTAAGTGTGCGTGTGCATGTGAATATGTGTATATATATATATATGTATATGTATAGACGTACATCGAACCTGAACAGCGGGTGGAATCGCTTCAAGTTTCGAACGTTTGTAACTGCAGGTATGAATACAGACGGAGTTTGTGTGCCTGTGTTTGGCATGACTGACGGGCTGTCTCTGCTGAGCAGTACCACCCGCCTGTTCCCAAATCTCGCCCTGAAACCCAAACTTCAAACCCTGAACCCTAAACCCTTATAGTAGAACCACTCCACCCACACACACAGAGCGCCTTGATTCTGTGATCTGAGCGGTTGCTGATAGTAGGACACAGCTTGAACTTGCTGTTCGCACTGCCACTGCATCCATTCGGCTTCAGTGTACCTGCTCTCATGTGATGTGACACACTTCAGGTCCCCAGGCTTAGGGTTCAAATTCAGACTTTTCAGAATTCGACCTATACTACGTCCTAAGCCCAGGCTAGTTTCGAAACCGGAGGTTCCTCAAGAGAGGCCTTTGACAGGCTTAGGGTAGCAACAAGGGTACCCTTGTTCATGGTACTCAGCTTCAGTAAGTACTACTGGCGAACCTGCTGTAGGTTTGGGCTTATGCTTACAGTCTGCTTCATCGGCTTAGCTGCGGTTACCGCGGTTCACGCTCTGCACACAGAATGAGTTTACGAAAGTAAGGGACCCTAATAAAGCGCGCCCAATAGTAGGATCCGTATTATAAGGGCCCCAAAATAAGGTTACCTTATTTTTTCGGAAACTCCCACATGGGACTGATCGGAGTATGACCAAAACGGAGTCATGGCAAAAATCGCACTCGTCATCCAGAGAAAAAGGCTCCTATAACTATACTAGGGCCCCCAAGAAGCACATAAGCGAAAATTAGGATGTGATATCCCATATAAACCCCCTTGTAATGAAGCCCAATAAGGTAGGGATATCCCTCTAAAATTATTGTGCTTATGTGCTTGTTGGGTCCCTAATATACATACCAGACCTTACCAAGAAAAAACAAAAGCTGTGCTAAGGGACCCAATAGCGCCGAGCCACTGGCCCTGGTCGCCGTTCGGCCACTGGTAGTTACAGTTACCAGGTTGTGCCCAGAACTGCGGCCAGCGGTTCTCTGGATGGTATTGGTTCGGCATCATCTGCTGAGGAGACCTTGGCCCAGCCACGGCTTAAGGTTTAGAGCCTTCTGGATTCTCCAAAGAATCCTAAGCACCTATATAGTTGAATCTAGGGTTTCTATGTTGCCGAAAATAGGGGGCCCTAGTAATTGCAGAATTATGGCACTCTAAATAGTAGGATCCTTGTTATAAGGACCCCAAAACACGGTACCTCTAATTTTCGGAAAACTCCCATGTAGGTACTTTGGGTCTCTAATCAGGGTTGTAGGAGGGCCTGAAGTATTGGAAGCTTATGGGCTGCCGCGGCTATATCTCTCTAAACCGCAAAACCCTAAATGTAGAGGCCTCTACAGTTAGAATCGGGTTTTGCTGTATTAGATACCATAATCATAATAAGGACCCCCCCAAAACAAAAATAAAATAGTACAGGTAATTATTTATGGCCCCATTTAAGGCCCCTATATTAAACCCACGTTGAGCACCTTGAACCCTTAAAGCCTACACCCCAGATCCCAAGTGTGCATGTGCCTATGCAGTCTATGCTCTGGTTTCAAAGCGTCTTAAATCATCTATGTCGGACCTTAATTGGAATAGGGTTTTGGGGCGGCCCAATATACTCTAGTTAGAACAAGGAGCCACCCAAATAGTGTAGGGCCCCTATATTATGTAGGCACCTCTTTGAGGTCAAAGTATTCACTCTGCAGCATAGGTACCTGGGCCCTATAGAGCCAAAAACAAATCTCATTCACAAGCCCTGATAAAACCCTAAACCTCGATCCCCCAACTACCCTCTAATATACCCCGAGTATCCACTGTTAAAGACCACAAGGACTCGATCAAAGTGCCCTTGGGAGGTCCTGGAAGAAGCCCTGAGGAGATCCTCCCACAGGAGTGCTTAAAGTCTACATTCTACATGGGAGTTTCCGAAAATAGGGGACCCTAATATAGTACCCTAAATAGTAGGATCCTTATCATAAGGACACCAAAATATGGTACCCCTAATTTTCGGAAACTCTAGACCCTAAACCCTTTATAGAACTCTTCTAGATCCCTTTAAGGAACCCTTATAGTAACCCTTTAAAGGAACCCTAAGGTACCCCTAATTTTCGGAAACTCCCACCTGGGAGCCTTTGAAGGTTTTTTTTTCCGAGAAGCGATGCTAGCGGAGGGAAGTTGGCATTGTAGCCATTCGACATCCAGAGACCTGGAACCCTAAACCCTAAACCCTAGGATCTCTTGCTCCAAGGCTCAACGATCAGACCAAAAGCCGTAAAAAGTAGCGTCCTTGGGTCCAAAAGCCTTAAAAATCTGAGTCCTTAGAGCCTAAGGGTTGGGTTGCGGTCCAGGATTTCTTGGGGAATAAAGTCCTATATCCCAGTCACAAAACTTGTAACAGATTAGGATGATATGGGAGCAGCATAAGCAGTGTTCCTCCAAAGAGCCAAAGCTTCAAGCCTCTGGTGAGGGGAATTCTAGCCTTCTTTCTACACCCCCCCCTGTCAAGGTGACCGCAAATGGGGATCCACAAAACGAAACGGATTAACATAGGGGCCTTAAATAGGGTTTTGAGGCCCGCTATACTAGATTTCTACCAAGGAACTCCAAGAAACTTTTTTGTGAATCATTTAGGGGGTTTAGGGTTTGCGTCTGGCCTAAGGTTACCGATGGACAGGTCACCCGGTTGGAGTTTTCCTTCCTGCGGTCAAAGAGCCCTTTGCAAAGATTCATGTCTTAGGTGCTGAGTACCCTAGCCCCAAAAAAGGTTAATGTTTAAGGAAGTGAAAGTTCCGTGATGATTAGGATCCCACTACTTGCCGTCTATTTCATGCGGCCACCCTCCTGATCTGGATTGCAGTTTTGTGGGTCTGAAAAGTATATATGAGTGAATAGGTAAAGAAACCGTAAAAGGGAATGAACAAGTTTCCCAAATTGCCAGCTAGTGATTCAGTTTCGGCATCTTGCTCCTTGGATCGTCCCTTGCTTTTGGGCAGTGGCAGCAAGACCACCACCACTATAGGGGCCTTGATAATTAGAACAGGGTTTGGGGGTACATTATGCTATACTGTTTCTATTCAGAAACCCCCAATACCCTATTCTAAGTTGTTGAGGCCCCTATATTAAACAACACAACCAGCGCGAATCGGCCCTGTTCAGTGGCGGTTACTAAATGGGGTCGATCATGTTTCCCCCTGCTCAACACCTGGAGAGACTCTACAGTTCTTATGCAGAAACAAGGTAACGTAGCGGCCTCAATAGTAAGAGTAGGGTCTTGGGGGAACATGACAGTGTATTCGTAGTGAAGAACCCTAAGCAATACCACTGGTAGTTATTCAGGCTTCTATATTAAATCATTTCCAGGAGCTTTGGATGGGACACCGGTTTGGAACATCCAACACACACAAGCGCAGCGTCCAGCCTTCTCCGTTGCCCACAAGCTGTTGGCTCCGGGGCTAGGCACTATGCAGCAGCGTGACCCACAGAATAAAACTGGCTGAGCACGTGACGTTGCCTTAGGACATGCGTGCCGAGACCTTGTGTCTGCGGGTCTTCCTGCTTGGCGCCTAGTGTGCCTAGGTTGTCAGTGTGGGTGCCATATTTCTCGATTCTGCAGCCGGAGACTTGGTGCAGCTAGTAATTACTGCTGAGATGTTGGGGCTCGTTGTTACAGTGACATTACCTTCGTATAAGTCTTGGTGTTTTGTCTGCGCGGACCCAAGTCAGGGTCCTTGAGAATAAATCTGCCACCGAGGATCTGTGCGATGTCATTTTAACAGCCCTGAACCCCAAGCTTTTAAACCCTCAACATCCAACAAAGGTCGACCAAGGTGTGGCTCTGGAGATTGTCTGCCCTACAGGCTAGTGTAGGGGGCCTGAATACATACCAATACTATTTAGGGGTTTCTACCTATCTATCTACCTATCTATCTATGTATCTTCTGTATCTATGTATATATATATATATATATATATATATATATATATATATATATATATAATATGTAGAGTATAATGGGCCCCAAAACCCTACTCTAATCTTTTAGGGCCCTATATTCATTGCCGAGCTGCATCTACCAGCCCTGGATCGTGTCGCAATGCATGGTTTACGGTTCGACAAGCTCCGCAAATAACAGGTCAATGCAACGCTTTGCACGGAAGACCCACTGCTTTAGTACAAAACCTTAACACCTCCAAACGCAAGGACCCAATTCTGAAAGTCTCCTTGAAAGGAATGCATTCGGACAGATCTAGTGGTCGGAGACTCTAGTATCTAAAACTTGACATGGGCTTAGCATTTAAATTGGCGTGTGACCGAGGCCATAGTGCATTAAAACTTCACGCGCATTCTACTTGCTGCCACCGTGATCCTGCAGTAAACTCAAAGTCAGAGACGATTCATCCTCACGTTCGGACAGACAGCGCTACAGCCCCTACGCACTAAAGCCTAAACCCACACTAAGAGGCAAGACTTTAACCAAAAGCTGCGCATGAACCTTGCAATGCTCTTTTTTGTGAACCTGCACAGGGCCAGCGCACGGTGGCATTGAAGGCAAACTCCTAGGCTCTGTTCAGGGCTAAATGGTCTGAGGATTCCGGTTTAGCGCCGAGGGCATGCATGGAGCCTAGCAACGATTTACAAGGCTTGCATACGTGTACATATATATATATATACACATGTATATATATATATATATATATGTATGTACATATATGCATAACTATGCATGCATGCATGTATGTATGCATTTATGTATGTAAGGATTCTATAGTAACAATGAAATGGCAGATTGTCGTGAGTCCAGCCCAAGCACGCCGGTCAAACTTCGCCAGTGGCACTTGTCTACACCCCTTTGGCCTATGCAGACACTCCAAGATGTACATGCAAGTCTACTTCAGCCTACACCCTAGACTCTAACTGAAGCCCTGAACCATAAACCTGCCTTCAACCCTCAACAGTGGAAACCTTACAGTCACAGTGTCAGATCTTGGCAGTATCTATGATCGCCCAAGCCTCTCGCCATAAGAAGGCTCAATTATTGGAATGGGGCGTTGAGGGCATCCTCCACTATTACAACTATGATATAGGGACAACAGGGAGACTATTGCTACCCTAAACCCTAAACCTAAACTTACTAGAAATTCAGGCCCCAGGCTTCTATGTTGGGAAGGCCTTGCCTTGTGCTGATGGACAACGACGGCCTTGATTGGCATCTGTTTCGCGGATACCACACTGTAAAGCACAAAGGCATGACGAGGTTTTCCTTGACAGGGCTTTGGAGGATGACGGTTTTGTTTTGTATAGAGGCCGCAAGCGTCTAGAGTATTTTTGTTTTCAAGCATAATGACAGAATGTCAGTATAGAACACAACATAACTATTGCGGGGGCCCTCCTGAATAACTGCATAATGATGATACCCTGAAAGTCCACAGGACCCAATAATTAGGTACTTGGGTTTAGGATAGTAGTTATGTAGCTTACTATTTTGGAGAGTATGTGATAATTAGGTACTTGGGCCTTTAGGGATATATTCAAGCCACTCCAACCTCCCAATACTCACTGGCCCAAAACCCAAGGAAATACAAGTTGAAGCTTTTAGAATCGACTACCTTAAAAGAACCCCAAAAGTTGGAAAGTACAGTTTACAGCCAAAATGAATACTGCGGCTCTTCTCCAACCGGTCGTGGGTTCTGCGGGTTAGGAGCTGACCCTCGGCTCCCCCGAATTCGGATTTAGCTTCTTTTAAGGGTTCTGTCCACAACCCTATGGGTCCATGTAACCAAATAGTACATATTCTTCGCCCCCAAAGCACCTAGATATATAGGGACTACTTTAAGGCCAAAGTGTATAGTACTTGGGTACAAATCCCGAATATGAAGCCCTGCCGCCATGCCCTGCCCTAAACTCCCGAATGCTTTCCCAAGGTCGTCCAGGGGATGATGGTCCAGCTGCGGAAACGCCGCTGCTAGCCACCACTGAACGGCAATGAACCTGCAGGCAAAGCCGGAAACTGAACAGACATGGGACTTGAAAAGTTAGGGGCTTGCACTTGCGGGGGCGATTGGGTGCTCTGGTTTCACAGGATATTGCCGATACCGTGAACCATGCATCTGAAGCCCAGAATCAACAACTCCTCAACCTTGAACCCTGCACCAAGATCACACTTACCTTTGTGCCTGCACCTTTAAACTGGAGCTCTGCTTCCGAAACCCTGCGCCAGACCCAAGAAACCTTGCTCCGCAACCGATTACGTATCCAAAATCCAAAACCCTAAACCCCAAACCCTGAACCCTAAAACCCTAAACCCTAACCCCAAAGCCTAAACCCTAAACCCAAACCTCTAAACCCTTGCCACTGAACCTTCAACTCAAGACCCTGCGCCTCGAAGCGGAACCCCCCATCCTCGGCCCCTAGCTCGTATTTAAGCCCGAAGCCTTGTCCAACCTCGGAGACCCCTAAACCCCTACAATCCCTAAACACTATACCTAGAGGCTCCATAATAGTTCCTTCTTGGGGGTTCATATAGGGCGGAGGCCATCCCAAACAGGAACTGCCATGGAGCCTATGGGTACACCCCCATAATACCTATAGTCTCTATTGTAGTTCCTTTTTTGGTTTACCAGTTTTATGGTTAGGATCCTATAATAGAGATTTTGGCTAACCAAAGAGAGGAACTACAACGGAGACCTTAGGTAAGCCCTGAAATGAAACCTTCAGCCGAAGGAGAGAGCCGCAGAGACTCCAACATACCATAATTCAGGAATATACCTTATAAACCATAGTAGGATCCCTTATATGATTTCAGGTATATTCCTTAATTCAGGAATATACCTGAAATTTTAGTAGGATCCCTTATATGATTTAAGGTATACTCTTTAATTAAAGGGATATTGGGGTCTCTGAGGCCAGCCTCTCTGGGCTTCCCTCGCAAGCCACTCTGGAGCTGCGGGGGCGACGGCGCCTCGCTTTTCTGTGGCAGATTTTGTTGGCGGTAGGGCTTCTATTCTAGGGCTTCCTTTATGAGTTCCTTCCAAGGATCCTGTAAGTGCGCTACAAGCATACGGGATCCTTTAGAGGATTTTGTCTAGGGCTTAAGGCTAATAGGGTTCAGGATTCAGGGTTTACCGTCTAGGGTTGCGTGGAGAGGCCTGTAAGACCTACCCGAAACGGGTAAAAGGGCTCCCTTAAAGGTTCCAAAAAGGGTGACTATAAGGAACGCTTCTGCAAGAATGCTAGAAAAGGTTCGGGCTTCAGGGTTTACCTATAGTCTCCATTGTAGTTCCTTTTTGGGGTTACCTTTTGGAATCCTTAATATTATATATAATTGGTTTAACCAAAAAAAACTACCATGGAGACTATAGGTAGGGCTCCATCTCATGCCTTCCTGCGAAGGTAGGATTTGGGGAGTTACGGAACCGCTACCGGTCCGCAGCTAAGACTCGACGAAATATGGTTCGTAGTAGGGAATGGGGTATGGCTATAGGGGCTACTATCAGGGCCTATCCTAAAATTCCATTCCTGCTAAGAGCCCGGGCTGGGGAGATTAGCAAACAATGCTGGCACCATAGTCAAAGCTTCCCCCACGCGTTGGCACCCTCCAGCTCCAAATGCACCGTTGGCCCAAACCCTAAACCCTCAACCCCAAACACTAAATCCGTTGTTCAGCAGAGTGCCATTGCACCAAGAGGAGATGAGGGCACGCAAAGACTCAGATTTGGCCAACACCAAGTCCCAAGTCGCCACTGCTGTTCCATTAGCTTCATGAGGCCATGCTTTTCCTCGGGTCTACAGCTACAGCGGCATATATACTTGCACCCTTACGTATGTCTGAGCTATGCTCGGGCGTTTCGTCAAGTTCAAGGCATTTGTTGATGAAAGTGGATGCAAACTGCAGTTCTGCATCGTACGAAGACGACCAACCCAGCTTCGGCAAGCCAAATGCTGTCCGCAAACGACCTGTCATGAGCCTGAAGAACCCAGGCCCACTGGCGACTAGGGGCGATGTAGCTTCGCGTCTACCGAGCTTTACGAGAGTTTACGATGTAATTAACAAGGTTTCATTTAGTAACTTAGTAGGGCTTTAGATCTTCGGAACTCAGGGGCAGGGTTTAGCTTTCTTTCTTACTGCAGGATTCTATCGAGCTCTAATGCAAGTTCGTAGCGAGCTTCACAAGAAGATCGCGGCTCCTAAACTCCTAAACCCTATACCCTTAAGAGCATGCAGCTCTAAATCCCCAAATTCTAAACCCGAAATTCCAAACACACTAAGCTCTAAAGCCCTGAAGCAACTTACCCTACATCCCTAAAAACACCCTGAGCCCGAAACCCCCGCATCCTAAACGCTCTACACCCTAAAGCCCTAAATCCTAAATCCCTAGACACCCTGAGCCCTAAACGACATCCTATACAAAACCTAAGTCCCTCCACACCCTAAACCCTGCATCCTCGATCCTAAACCCGAGATCCCTCAACACCCTAAACCTTACCACCCTAAATCATAAACCCTAAACTCCAAATCCCTCAATCCTAAACCCCAAATCCCAATCCTAAACCTGACAACTTGAGCCGATCTACAGGGCCCTGGATCGGCTGAAGGCAGCCCGAAAGAGCTTGTAGCCGAGACCATGGTGGCTTAAGGCTTCAAGTACCTGGGATTTAGGGTTAAGGTTAGGGTTGATGATGTATGAGTGAAAAGAGGGCTTGGGAGTGCATAGGGTTTGCAGAAAAGGGTGTGGGGTCTAGGGCTGGGGGTTGCAGGTGATCGTGTTTCGGAGTCAGGTCTTTAAGGTTTGGGCCGTAATAATGAGGGTTCCTCATTATAACTATATTATAAAGGGCCCCAAAACCCTGTTCTAAATATTAGTGTTACAACACGCTTGAGCCTGGTTGCTGTTAGAAAAGCATGCTCCGCTCAGTTTCCGAAGTGTTGTGACGTCGGGTTTAGAGTGCATCGATGCAAGGCCTGCAGCAGCTGGACTTGCGGCTCTGCGAAAACCAAGTTATAGGCGTAAGGCTTGCCCTGAAGTGTCAGACTCCACAAACCTCATGATTTTGAACCACACCATGATCAGAACAGTGACATCAGCTCCATAGGCAACACAGCTATATACATGAATACGTACATACCTACCTACCTAGTTAGCTACCTACCTACGTACATAGATACGTGCATAGGGAGAGGGAGAGAGAGAGAGAGAGAGAGAGAGAGAGAGAGAGAGAGAGAGAGAGAGAGAGAGAGAGAGAGAGAGAGAGAGAGAGAGAGAGAGAGAGAGAGAGAGAGAGAGAGAGAGAGAGAGAGAGAGAGAGAGAAAGAGAGAGAGAGAGAGAGAGACGGAGAGACGGAGAGAGGGTCTGAGAGAGAGAGAGAGAGAGAGAGATAGATAGAGAGATACATAGACAAATAGACAGAGTCATAGAGTGATTTTAGTCTTAAGTATATATAAAAATGTGTGAATGAAGTTTTATATACATCACATATTCCGGCTTCTTCTACTTGAATATGACTGAACTCATAGGTATGACGCTCTCTTCACAACCCTGTGGAGCCATAAACCCCCCGGAAGCCTGGCCGAGACAGTAAACTCCGTGGCATGACACCGCAACACAGGCCACTGGGTCGGGCGTTATCTGCATCTTTGGCAGACTCTGGTGCAGGCGGACGGCTTCCTGGCAGTGGGCGCAGTTTTGTAAAGACGGGCTGGTCGCTTCGGGGAGAAAGTATGTTCGGCTTAGCACCCTGTACTCTTTACCCTAAACCCTACACCCCTAAAACCCTAAACCCTGAATCCCTAAACCCCTAAACCCTAAACCCTAAACCCCTAAACCCTAAACCCCTAAACCCTAAACCCCTAAACCCTGAACCCTGAACCCCTAAACCCTAAACCCTAAACCCCTAAACCCTAAACCCCTAAACCCTAAACCCCTAAACCCTAAACCCCTAAACCCTAAACCCTAAACCCTAAACCCCTAAACCCTAAACCCCTAAACCCTAAACCCTAAGCCTTGAGGTTGGTCCTTGGGCTTCCGTGGCTCAGGGACCCCAAAGCCAGAATACCTAAGTGGAGCCCCTACCCAAAGGCTCCATGTACCCATGTAGTAGGTACTTAGGCCTTAAAGGGGCCACTATATAGGTACTTTAAGGCCTAAGAACCTGCTATATAGGTACATGGAGCCTTTGGGCTATTACCATGCCTTACCTTACATCCTTTTCTGCGACCCGATGCGCTGCATCATGAACCGCTGTATCCACACACTCTGCTTCGTGTGTCGGCTTCGGGATGAATGCTGCGGTTCTAAACCGGGACGAAGATGAGGGTTCCGGGCTCAGGGTATAGAGTATAGAATGCCCGGGCAGGGTATGGTACCCAAGCCTACACCCAAAGGCCTACATCAAAGAACAGCCGGGTAGCTTGCCATCGCTTGCTGACGCCACAAGCTTGGAGGGCGATGGTGTAGCCTGACGGGGTCTCTTACTACTTTCCCAGTGGTCCATCCTTCTTTCCTGCCACCCGGTTTTTGATAAGGGGATTCAGAAACAACGTGGCAAAAGGGCACTACCGGGAGACCTTGCTGAGCAGGGTCCTCGGCGGCTATCTGGGTGCTCAGCCAGCACACACTTTGGCCGCAACAATCCGAACGAGGAAGTCGTTTGGGGCAACAACATATACTATGTTGGTACTGGATCGGCAACCAGGGATTTCCTGAGTGCCAACTCAATGTGACGATGAAGGCTACTCAGCTTCATGGCTTGGGGTCTAGCGATACCGCGTTCAACAACTGCGGCCGTCATCGACACACATAAGGCGACTCTGCCACAATTTAGGATTGAGGGGTTTAGGATTCAGGGCTTAGGGGCTTCCAGGAGCGTCGAAGGCTCTAAGACTCCCTTCCCACATCCAGTCGAACATCTGTCTGCGGCAAGAGAAAAGCTCAAATTCGAGGACTATAAAGCTAAAGCTCGCGCTGTTGAACAGCAAAGCCCCACACCAAAGATCCTTATATGGCAAGGGCATATGTGCCCAAAGCTTGCACCAGGGCCCCATGTCGTTCCCCAGGTAAGCCCAGACCAACTTTACTGAACTTAATTAGAACCCTAGCAAAAACTATAATTTTAGCTGTTTCTTAGGGATTCTTATAACCAAAAATTAAAAAAATATTCCTAAGTACCCCTAAGGCAAGTGCAGGACAGAGGCTGATAAGATCCGCAGAACCCGTCGATGTCTGCATCTGAAAGAGCTGGAGAGCCGACTGCCAGGAAGATCCGCCCTGCCACGAGAAACTCACTCACTCACTCACTCACTCGCGTTGCGGAAAGATCCAGAGCGATCAGCATGCAAATCCCAAAAGCAAGGCTTGCTGTAAGCCTAGCGGGAACTCACGGAAAGACGAGAACTGTACACAAGCCGACAGGGAGCGAGAAGCAAGCTACGACCCGTCAGGCTCAAAGGAGCGACAAATCGAGGAAGCGCGGACCACGAGCTCATCAGCTCCTGCCTCTAAGAGGGAGGTACGAGATCTCAAGTGGTTAACCGCCGGAATGAGAAGCTCCTGAGGAGCAGCTAGAAAAACCTGACCTTCGCTGAGTGACACGGACATGAAGACTGCATCGGGCAGGAGGTCACGCCACAATCGGGTCCCCAGTGAGCTTGGGCGTCCGCAGATCCAAACAGCAGCACCCAGTTGCACATGTTTGCAGATCAGACGGAACATCACCGTCGCGCTCAACAAGGCGCGCAGAGCAAAAGGAGGCCCGTCAGTAGGGCCCTCTGTAGCATCAAGCGCGGCACGCAATGACTTGAAACCAGAACGTGCCTCGAAATCCCATGGATGAAAGGAGTGAACGGAGGTCCACAACTTCCACAAACGATGCCAGACAGTGGGAAGGCGCCAGAGCGCCGGCTGCCGCACCATCTCAGGCCAGCGCGGTGACACAACCCGACCAACAACCGAAGGCAAGATTGGAGCCAACTGCTCGGCTTCGATCACAAAACAGCATCGTAGGCTCGTTGCGTGTAAGGAAGCAGCACACGCTAAAGATGCATGAGCATCGTGGGGCCTGACATCCGGACCGGGTGCCGGCGGAGATCCGCTGGCACCTTGATCGAAATGGTCGAGTGCATTGTCTGGCCAGTCATCGACTTCCGTAACCCCAAGATGCAGCAGACGCTCTAAGCGGAGCTCATCTTCTGTGCATTCGCGCGCCTGCTCAGCTGCTGCTCTGTGTGCAGGCGTGGCATTGATGGGCCCGGGCAGGCGCGTCGCTGGCAGGCCTCTGTGGCATCGGGGCCCTTTCCTCTTGGTTCCGGTCCCGTAAATGTAAGCAGGGCCAACCACAACCCTTAAACCGTGTAAGCAAGCGGGAGACGTCTTGAGATGGTACTTGAGACGATCTGTGGAGTGCTGGTCAGCATGGCACCAGAGGCACACAGTTCCACAAGTATACTGTGTGAGGCAGTTGACTACAGAGTGCTTCCTGTGGATGTGTGCAGCAAGGGCATGGGCACTCGGAAGACATTGGCCACACAGACGGCACGTGCAGGGGTTACGACGACCCAGAACTCGAGAGGTCTTCTGCACAGTAACATCCTGCCACAGGAGGTGAAGCGCCCTGTATGCAGAGCCGTAGCGGCTGAGGTGTCGGCAGGCCTTAAGGAGTAGGCTAGCCTTATCACGAACAAAGAGACTCGTAACCCGGGTGCGATCGTAGGGGCCTGGCAAGCTATGAGCGAGTTCCTGGCAGGCTTCGGTGAGCAACTGCCCCCAAGGCGTAGCCCGGTTCCAGACCGCATCAACCAGATTGCCGACACATGCTGGTGCACGCGTGAGCAGATGGACCGTGAGGCGCACCCGCGCAATGCAGATGGCGTCCTCCGGGGAGGACAGGCCCAGCAGCAGTGTAAGAAGAGGCTTGCTGAGCATGTGGCCATATGACCACGACTCCACGAGCTGTCTAGCGGCCCTCTCGAAGAATCCAACCAGCGGGCTCAGGGATCGTGCTGAGGTCGCGATAGAAGTGGCAATGGTTGCGTAGGCAGCTGGTAGCACTCGGCCGCCTACCCATGCCTGTTTCAGTCGCCACGGGAGCCGCGGGCATGTAAGGAGACTTTTCGCATGGGACCATGCTGCATGCGCACGTTGCGCGCACAGTTCCATGTCACGTCGGCCGGTATCCCGGGGAGTACATATCACCCCGAGATATCTGTACTCAGGCGAGATGCGGACCTCGTGTCCGCTGGGCAGGTGCAGGACAGCCGGCTCAGCGAGGAGCTCACTCCGGATCTTGGTGGCCTCTACACCTCTAATATCGACCATAACCTCTGTTTTGCTGGCACCGAGGTTAATCCTGAGGTTAAGAAGCTCAAGTGTGGTGATGGCGATAGTCACAAAACGTGGGAGGAGATCCCGCAGTTGTGCCGGCGACATGAAATCAGCAAGTATAGCAAGATCGTCGGCCCATCCAATGGGGAGTACGGTGTCGTCTGCCCCTATGTGACTGCCAGCGGCTTGGAGAGTGATGCCTTCGGCGCTGCATGCCCTACGGATATGACGCAGTGCGACCGCAAATAATGCGCCGAAAAGGATATCAGCAAGACCGTCCCCGGGGCGGGAGCCTTTGGAGGCAAGGAACACATGATCCGACCCGACAAGCCGCCAATGGGAGTAGGCAACGCAGTCGTGGAGGAGTTGACGTTCCTCATCAGGAACCCCAAGCAGGGCTAAGGCACCGTTGTCCCGCAAGGAATGTGCAAGGCTGGATAGATGCGATTCAGCCGCTATGCGGGGACCGTGCTGGACCTCAAGGTCGTCACCCTCGAAAATGAGCTTCCGGCTCACTTCATAATAGGCGGCCTGGACATCGACAAACAGTGCAGCAATGCAATGTTGTGAGGCGACGCACAAATCCGTGACTGCGCGAAAGGCAGCGATGGCAAAACCAACGGGGATGCCAGGTTTACCACCTAGCTGGGCTGAATCATATCCACGAAGGACATTGCGCCCGACAGTGCGACGCAGGTGGCCATGCCATAACTTGGCAATACCGTTGAGGAGCGCAATGGCCCTATAGTTCTTAGGAAGAGCCGCAGGGCCCTTCTTGTAGAGCGCGCAGTAGAGCGCAAGCTTAAAGTGCAGGGGCTCACGGCCAGTTAAGGCGATGCGCGTTAGGACTTCCCAGGTCCAGCGCCCCGCTTGCACGGGAAAACAGCTCCAAAACTCGTTAACAATCCCATCCGGTCCTGGTGCTTTGTTACCTTTCTGCCGTCTGCAGGCATCTTCTGTCGCAAGTAGGGTAGGGATCGCTGCTGTGCACGACGGGGCCTCAGCCTGCAACCACGGTAATATCACGCTACCAATGTGTGGTGCCTGAATCTTAGAGGCAGCCTCTTGCGCCCTGAACTGCTCTTCCAGTTCGGCTTCAATGTCGAATCCACCTGCAGAGAAGACTTGCCGGCGCTCCGCAGCTCGCCTGGAGGCCCAACGGAGCTTAATAATGGCTTCATGCGGACGGCCATCAGCATGCCACCGATCGGTAGCAGCAGCGGTAAGGCGGAGGAAGTGGGCTTGTTTATCCTGCCGGGCATACGAGTGTGCGATGGCCTGGAGACGGCGCTCCTGTGCCCGCATGGCCTCAACCAATAGCCGTGAGTGTCGATGCTGCACCCGTGCGCCGGCGCGCTCTGTAGCGGGTCGGCGACTCCACCTGCGTAGGACCAGTCGTTGCGCTGCTTGTTTAGCGGCTAGCTGGACAGCCCGCAGCTGACAACGCCAGTCCCGAAGTTGAAAGAGCCAAGAGAGAGTGCGCGGTTGGATGTAGGGCTGCCGGGGGGAGAGGGCCCGTTTCGGAGCAAGCATTTGCACCCAAAGCCGATGCTCGGTGACAAGCTGACTGACAAGCTCAGCGCTGCTGGTGGCCTCCATAGGGTGAGCAGCGAGTCGTTGCCATACAGACGCTCCGTCGTCACGGGTGTCAGTGGCATTGCTCCGTTTGACAACACATTTCCGGCCAATCGGCGCAGCTGGCTGCAGTGTGGTGCGGACACGGAGTGCCAGGTGGTCGCGTTGGGAGTTGACAATATCGAAGTCCCACGCCTGACTAGCAAGAGAGTGCGTCCAGGCACCAGCTCCGAACAACAGATGGTCCAGACGTTTGCGACGACCGCTCGTGTGTTCCCACGACCACCCCGGTCCGACCTGGACAGTCGTCCATGTGGCTGGTGCCTCTAGCCCCAGTGATGTCGCAAACTCGAAGAGATGTTCATCATTGGACGTAGCTTCATGGCGGGCTACCTCAGGACCGATGAGGCATGCACCCTCATCTTGCGCGCAGAAGTCACCATTGGCATCAATGCCGATGACCAAGCCTCTGCCCTTAGGTGCATGTTGCAAGGCATTGCGGAGGTCCTGCCAGAAGGCGCAGCGTTCTGATACCGGTCTGTCCGCATGCGGTGCATGCGCAGCACATATTGTGACGGGAAGACGGGGATCCAAGCAAGTAACAATCAGAAAGCGGGGTGTCGCGGCAAGGATGCGGCAATCTGAGAGCTTTAGCGGAGGATGGACTTGATCTGGGCGCAACCAGACTTCACAGCCATATTGGCCTTTGTCAGCACCAGAGCGCCATTGAAGCCATCCGCCCGTACTCCAACGCCCGGCTGGCGCACGAGTCTCCTGAAGACATGCGATATCAGCTTGAAGGCGAGTAAGTTGACTAAGCAAGTATTGCCTGCGTGCCCCATGGCCGGACGGGTTGAAAAGATTGCAGCGAACATCCTTGATCGACTGGACGTTAGCAGTCAAAATCTGCAACTCAATGGGAGGTTTAACTGCGGGACGAGGACGCGACTCAACCGCTGCGTCCGCCGGCGGGATCCAGTCAGTTGGACCCGGGTTGAGAACAAAGACTGGCTCG